AAATACAAAAAAAGGACTGGGGACATGGTTCAGTGGTTAAGTGCCCCTGAGTTTTATCCCTGGTACCAAAAAGAAAAAATTTATCTCCTTTAACATTTTTCTCAAACTGCATAATCACCTTTTGAAATGGTTCTTAAAATTCCAAGAGTTTTCCTTTAAAACCTACAAAACTTGGGCTGGGGTTGTGGCTCAGCAGTAGAGTGCTTGCCTAGCATATGGTGGCACTGGATTCAATTCTCAGCACTGCATATAAGTAAATGARTAAAATAAAGGTCCGTCAACATCTAAAACAATTTTTTAATTAAAAAAAATCTATAAGACATGTGAACACCTTACTGTTACAGAGAAGTCAAATCCATTTTAATATTAGCCCAAGAAAAACATACTAAACAGGAATGGAAATTGGCCACAAAGCCAAATACTACCTAGTTTCTAATTTTTAAAAATCCATTCATTCAATTACTTTAGAAAAGGTTAAACTGAGGTCTCTTCTACAAATGAGATTCTGTAATTTCATGAAGTATATGAATGCCTACTATGTACAAAATTCTATGAAATTTTATCCTATTAACATCTTATATTCTTCCCAGCCTCTACTTTCTATTCTCACATTTGTCTTACCTTCTGATTGTTAGTTATTTTTACCTCCAGCAATAAATAACAGTGTCTATGCATCCCTCACTCTCATTCCATTAATTATTCTGATTATACATTTTATATTTTGTATATGTAGGGCTGAATGTCAGCCCAAAGTTGATGTTGAGAAATTGCCATGATTCAAAACATTTTTAAAAACTGCTCTTCTGGGCTAGGGTTATGGCTCAGCAGTAGAGCGCTCCCCTAGCACGAGCAAGGTTCAATCCCCAGCACCACACAAAAATGAATAAATAAAATAAAGATATCGTGTCCAACTAAAACTAAAAAAAAAAWKKTWAAAAAAAACTGTTCTTCTGAAACAGATCCAGCAGCATATTCTTTCTTCATGCTGTGAGAATTGATATGACTTCTGAAAACCAAATGACAATCATCCAAAGCCACATATAATGAATATCACTGGAGATCAAAGTATGTAATATTGTTAAGATGTCATTCGACTACAAAGTAACAGCACCAGTTTTTGTATGTAGTTTTAGATAACTCTGAAGGCATCTAAGAACATCATTCCCTTTACCACTTGCTTATCAGTGTGATCTTTTATGGAAAAGTGTTTATGATATAATGTTAAGTGAAAATTTCAGAATTCTATATTTTGAATACTATGAATCTCAATGAAAATAATAAGCATGGAAACCAGAATTGGAAGTCAATGTGTAAAATAGGTAATATTGCTATTGTGAGAATGAAAGATTAGGTTCTTCCCTTTTTCAAAATTATTTCATATTGTTATATATCTTTTATTTTAAAAAATCAGCTGTTACTTTATTATTCACCATATTATTATTATCATTACTATTTTTGACTGAGGATTAAACCCAGGGGTGCTTAACCACTGAGCAATATCCCCAGCCCCCACCCTTTTTTAAAATTTAGAGACAAGGTCTCAGTGAATTCATAAGTGCCTCCTTAAATGCTGAGGCTGGCTTTGAACTTGGGATCCTCCTGCCTCAGCCTCTGGAGCTGCTGGGATTACAGGCATGGCCACAGCATCCCACCTCACCATATTATTTTATAGAGACTTGTTTCTATCTAGTGAGAAATAAGATTTATGAAAAAATCTTTCAATTTCGCTTTCTATTAAAAAAAAAATCACAATTTTGAAGAACTCATTTGCTTTTACCAGAATACTGAACCTCAAAAAACCTTTTTGAAATTAGAGTATAAGCTCTTAAGGTCAGTCTAATTCATCCAGCAATAAATACCAATTCATTTTTATTAATGGTTCATATTTATTATTCACAAACACTACAATTTAAAACGTATGTAGGAGAACTGATCTTTTGGGAGAAAAATCCAAAATTCCTTTTTCTCTTTTTTCTTTTTGTAATAGGGATTGAACCCAGGGCAATTAACCACTGAGCCACATCCCCATCCCTTTTTWAATTTTGTGTCAGGGTCTCACTATGTTGCTTAGAACCTGACTAAGTTGCTGGCTTTGAACCTGAGATCCTCCTGCCTCAGCCTCACAAGTTACTGAGATTACAGGCATCCACACCATGCCTACCCACAAAATTTTCTTCTTAAAATACATGAAAAAGGTTCAGAGGGATTATATGTTATGTATATGTATTTTGACATAGGGTCTTACTATGCTGCCCAGGCTGGCCTTCAATTTCAGTACTCAAGTGATCCTCCTGCCTCAGCCTTTCAAGTAGTTGGAACTAAGTTGTATACTACCCTGCCTACCTTAATCATGTATTTCTAATGGTTAATCACTATGTTATAAAAACAATCCCAGGGCTGGGGATGTAACTCAGTGGTAGAGCGCTTGCCTCTTGCCTTGCACGCATGAGGCCCTGGGTTCAATCCTCAGCACCACATAAAAATAAATAAGATACCACGTCCATTCACAACTTAAAAAAAGAATCCAAATCAATAGAAATTTACAACACCACTAGAGATGCTGCTCAAAGGCAGAGCACACTTTTAGCATCCTAAGGTACTGGAGTCAAACTCCCCACCCCCGAAAAAGATATGTTCACCTTTGGAGGGCTGAGAGTGTAGATCTGAGTTAGAGCTGGTGCTTAGCATGTGTTGAGGCCCTGGGTTCAAATTCCCATCAAAGAAAAGAAATAAATTCTCATCAAAAACAGTCTAGAAAAATTTCCCTTCTGTAGACTTTCAGATAACTACAGTCTACTGAAAGACTTCAACTTAACCCAGCAATACAAAGGCCAGTGGACAGGAAACAAGCTTGTAGACTTACAGACAGAAATAGAATCAAAGCAATTAAGTGAGTCTATTTTTCCCACCACACTTTAGTTTTTGTATGTTATCTTAAAAAAAATATTTCATAAGAAGAAATAATGTGGGATAAAACAATCTGAATTTCTGAAGGGTAGTATTTTGCATAAGAAACTGAAATTAGGGCTGAGGTTGTGGCTTAGCAGTACAGCGCTTGCCTAGCACGTGCAAGGCCCTGGGTTCCATTCTCAGCACCACATAAAAATAAACAAAGGTATTGTGTCCAACTACAACTAAAATATAAGTATTTAAAAAAAAAGAAAGAAACTGAAATTAATAAATGGCATCTCAAACCATCTCCAGGAAACGTAAATAAAGAAGCTGGGCATGGTGGCACACGCCTGTAATCCCCCTACTTAGGAGGAAAGAGGATAGAAAGTCCCAAGCCAGTCTGGACAACTGAGCAAGAACCTGACTCAAAAATAAAATTTAAAAGTGCTGAGGATGTAGTTCAGTGACACAGGGTTTAATTAATTTGCCAGGTCCTGGGTTCAATTCTACCGGTCCAATACCATACACAGAAGAAACAGATATTCCCTTCTCTATGTGATTCACTACAAAGACTGTTCTAAATAAACAACACAGTAATATTAGTTATATATAAAATAATTTTGTMGTTTTCTTCAGTAACAATGATTTGGTCAGACATTGGGAAATCTACATCTTAAATACAATAATCCAATTATAAGATTTCAAAATGTTGTGAGAAGTTATCATTTCACTCCTCGTCCCAATTTTACTTTGCCAACCTTCTTGTCATATTTCATGCCACAAGACAGATAACAATACATTGAATATATAGTTGCAGAACAAAAATTAAAACTAGCTTTAATTACAAAACAGCAACTTGCATAGAACCTTATGAATAAAATAACGTACAATTTTACTTAACCAGATCTTGCATGTCAAGTTCTAAGACCATTAACAGTGGAAATAGTCTCGGTATTTAACAAATTACTACCAGAGAAGCATAGACTCTGCTAAGAGAGGGAACTAACATTCTGACCTCCTTCCGAAATGACAAACTAGAACGGCAAAATTAAACTCAGGCACATGGAGTACTCTTCTCTCAAATCACTCCACAGAGAACTTCATCATTTGCTCCGCCCTCTAATAACTCATGCAAAAAAAGTTCAGCACCATCAGAGAGAAACAAGACAGAGAATTCATAGAATGGCTTAGGGCCTTTCCTCCAGGCGGTAAGAGGATCTGCGTGTGCCCTTCGCAGGGGTCCAAAGGGAAAGAAAAACCTAGGCCTAAGGTTTGCGGGGATACTGACACCCAGAAACAGATTTCTCTCAAAGAAGTTTCCGTCGCCATCCCTATTTTATCAGCAGGAGGCTGAGGCGCCATCGTCTCGGTCTTTATGACATATTTTATTATGGGGAGGTGGGAAACGCCACCCAGGATTTCTCCAGACCYTCCCCTATTAAGCCTGGGGGGTTTCCCCTCTTTATTCTCTTAAAGCCTCAGTCCCTTATGTACTCCTCAACACCCCCAGTTTCTGGCGGCTTGTCCCCCCGTGGATGTGTAAAGGCGCTGCCGAACCCACCGGTCTCGCCGTTAAAACCGGAGGGCCGAACACGCCAGGGCCACCGCGAAGGCTCCGAGGGGCCCAGAAAGGGGAGGGCAGGCAAGGGACCGGAGTGAGAATGACCTGGCCAGGGGAAAAAGGCAGAAGGAGGGAGAGGATGCACTGCACCCCCTTGTCTGTGGGCTGCACACACAAGAGGTGATGAAGGAGAAGGAGGGCGGTGGCCCGGGTGCGGCCCCCCACTCCTCCCGCCCCCAGGTCCGCGGGCCGGCGGGGACCGGCGGGCTCGGCCCAACCCCCGGTCTGGGCTGGCAGGGGGCGTGGGGATCTCCCTCCAAATCGCTAGGAGCCCGAAAACGAGGAACTGGGGAGCGCGGGGGGGGGGGTGCTGTCGCCCGCCTGAACCCGAGACCCCGACGTCGTCGTCGCCTCTTGCTCAGGAGGGAGGACGCGAGCTATGGGTAAAGCCCGAGGGAGCAATGCACGAAGGTAAGTGGAAGCCAGGGTCAGCCCCGCCGCCCGCCCCGGACCCCACTCTCCACCTTCCGGTAACCGCGTCTCTTACCGGTGATGGCGGTGAACTGCTGAATTAACCCCTTCAGCGCCGAGGAAGCTGCGGAGCCCCCGTGGGCAGCCATCTTACCGCCGCCACCGCCGCCGCCGCCGCCGAACAACAACACAGACACACACGGACCGCCCTCCCCCACCTCGCCGCGCGGTTTGCGCAGGCTCACTGACCGCCCCCATGCTCCGCCCCTCTCGCCCCCGTCGCGACTGCCCGCGCAGGCGCACTTTCCCCGCGCCGGAGCGCTTTCGGCTTTTGGGTTGGCTGCTGGGTTGCTGCCTGCTCGCCGCATCCTTTTTTTATCTCGGAGGCCAACCTTACAGACTCAGTGTTAATTCCCAGTTTTCAAAGGAAGCACCAGTTTCCGCAGGTAATAGATTTTTTGCGTCTCAGCTTCACCATCTTTACTAATGAACCCAACTGTCCGTAAAGATATATATGTATTTTTTTTTCCTTTTTTGCAACTCCGCTGCACTCTGCTAAATTTCCTGCATCTCCCATCAAAATACAAATCTTATTTCCTCACCCTGAAACCACTCCTATACTCGCTCTCCAACCTCAAAATTAATGGCTTTAGCCAAACCTCGTGCGGCGACCCATTCAGAAGTGAAACACCGGAACCCTTCTTATCAAGAAAGCACTGGGCGCAGGTCTGACACCTAGTGGGCTTGTAATAAACGATTAACCAGTCTGCTTTTCTTCAGTAAATTTGTCAACACATGTCACTCCTTAGAGTCTTACTTAGTTTCCTCACGTATAAAATGAGGAGGCGTCGTGTACAAAGAAAATATACAGAAAGGACACTGGAAAAAGCCTTCAAAACGCTGATAATGGTTTCATTTAAATGATAGAGGAGATGGCGAAAGGGTTCTTTGAGTTCATGTTTTTTTCTCCTTTATTTTTAAGCCAAAAAAGATTTGTATGTTACTTGCATAATTTTAAATATTTTAAAAACAAGTTTGAGTGGGATGCCCTCAAATCTGATAATCTCCCATTTTGAGAATAAAGTTAAAGAAATTCAGTTTAGTTCCAGCCTCCTTTCTTCTACCCCCACCCGGACATGAGTCATCCTGATAATTGCCACATCCTAAGGGTAAAGGTGTATTAGGAAAAATTAAATAACCAAGTGAAGGCAGCGCCACCTGTAGTCACGGTTACTACGGAGGCTCAGGCAGGAGTAACCTTGAGTCCAGAAGGAAAAAAGTGGAAGCAAGGAGACCAGGGCCAAGAAATAGTGTGTCGTTTCCTTTCTAAAACCCTGAATCCTCAAGGCTCGGTCACTGTGACCAACCATGCAAAATCAGGTTTCAAATAAAATGGTGTAACACCACTGACTACAAAAACGAAGCACATTTACTACTATATCTCCATCAGATGGACAAACTAATTAGTGATGTGATTTTTAGATTCCTCTTGCAAAAAAAAAAAAAAAAAAGTGATAAAGATAGTAGCATTCTCGAGTCCAGGGAAGAGATTCCTAGATATTTTTAAATAAAGTAAAAGAAAACAAGGCAGAAAATTAAGAACACAACTTTGAAAATTTTCTTTGGGTCATTGAAGAATATGAAAGGTCTTTAGAATCACAAAAAAATATACTTAAGTGCATCCCTAAAATCATGGGAAAAATTTTTTGGCGGGGGAGTAGGTACCAGGGATTGAATTCAGGAACACTTGGCCACTAAGCCACATCCTCAGCCCTAATTTGTATTTTATTTAGAGACAGGGTCTCACTGAGTTGCTTAGCACCTGACTTTTGCTGAGGCTGACTTTGAACTGCAGTCCTCCTGTCTCAGCCTCCTAAACTGCTAGGATTACAGGCATGTACCACCTCACCCGGCTGGAAATGTGTTTAAAAAAAAATAGATTGTCCTCAGAAAACAAATTAAAATGCAAAAGTATTATACATTGAATAATGGGAAAATTAAAGTTTTCAGTGACATAAGGCAATTGTCCCAAAGCTACACATCAGTTACTATTTGCATTATTACATCCAGTTGCACCAGGATTTTGTTTTAAGACTCCCAAATTGTGCTGAGGCAGGAGGATTACAAGTTCAAGGCCTGCCTGTGTAACTCGGTAAGACCTGTTTCAAAATAAGAAATGAAAGGACTGGGGATATAACTCAGTGGTAGAGCATTTGCCTGGCATTCATAAAGCCTGGATTCAATTCCCAATGCTGCAAAATATAAATAAGTAAAATAAAGGATGGAGGAAAGAAAGAAAAGAAAAAATTGGGAAGTTGGAACTATAAAGAAGAAATGTGACAAGGCTGGGGTTGTGGCTCAGTGGTAGAGCACTTTCTGTGAGGCACTGAGTTAGATTCTCAGCACTGCATATAAATAAATGAAGAAGGAAAAATGTGACAAATGTACAATCATGCACACCGTTGTTCTCTGACAAAAGTAAATAAACATATGGAACACACTCATTCTATTCAAGCACCCATAAAGCATAATAAAATTTGATCATGTAAAGGCCACAAAGGAAGTCTCAAGAATGTAAAATAATCATTAGAGTATAGAACATATTCTCTAAATACAAATCAATTAAATTAGAAATTAGTTTATTTTTCTATTCCTCCAAAGGGGGTGTGCCTTTCCTGGAGACACTATAATACTAGGTCCATGTGTGGAGTTCATAGAGTAAGCTTCTATTCCCTCTCCTATTTCCAAAAATCAACTTAAAATATTGTTGTCTGATAGAGTATGTATCAGATATTAAGCTGATAAGAACAGATAATACATTTGATCTTAGCCAAAAGGCCAAGAAGTGATTAGAAATTAGTTTTTTAAAAGAATAACTTTAGGACTGGGGATGTGGCTCAGTGGTAGAGTGCCTGCCTGGCATATACAAGGTCCTGGGTTCAATCACTAGCACTACAAAAATAAAAATAAAAAAGTTTAAAAAAATTAATGAAGTGCAATGGCACATGCGTATAATCCCACCAGCTTGGGGTGGGCTGAGGCAGGAAGACTGAGGGTTCAAAGCCAGCCTCAGCAACAGTGAGGTACTAAGCAATGCAATGAGACCTATCTGTAAATAAAATACAAAAAATAGGACTGGGGATGTGGCTCAGTGATTGGGTGCCCCTGAGTTCAATCCCCAGTACCCCCCAAAAAAGCAAAAAATACTAATAATTATAACTTTAGGCCAAGAGTGGTGATGTGCACCTGTAATTCTAGCTGCTTTGGGAAGCTGAGGAAAGAGAATTGTAAGTTCAAGGCAGGTCTGGTTACATAATGAAATTCTGCCTCAAAACAAAATTTTTCTAAAAAGAATAAAATTTTAAATACTCATATTTGGAAACTCCAAAAGACACTTATAAATAAATCATGAGGGGCTGAGTTTGTGGCTCAGAGGTAGAGTGCTCGTCTAGCATGTGTGAGGCACTGGGAGTGATCCTGGGCACCAAATAAATAAATAAATAAATGTGTCCAACTACAACTTAAAAATATATGAAAATAAATAAATAAATAACTCATGAACTAAAGACAAAATAAAATTAATGTATCATTCAAGGTTCAATAGGAAACCAATTGCTACCCAAGTAATTTATAAAAGAATAATTTTTATGTGTGATTTTTAATTAATTTTTTATTTCTATATGACAGCAGAATGCATTATAATTCTTATTACACATAAAGAGCACAATTTTTCATATCTCTGATTGTATACAAAGTATATTCACACCAATTCATGTTTTCATACATGTACTTAGGATAATAAAGGTGTGGGAGYCACAAGGGACAATAGAGATTCTTGTACAAGCAACACTAGAACCATCACAATTTCTAGGTTCAAAGGGAAGAGGAGAGAGAGATTATAGGGGATCCCAAAGGAGATTCCAGTCTTTGTACAGCAAGCCACTGTGCAAGAAACAATGACCTTCTATCAAGGGATGTAGCTAGCTGAGGCTATTTCAGAGAAGTGACCGGCAAAATAAATAACCTGACCATATTCTTCTTCTCTTGCCAGAAATTCCCACTAGCAAACCCAACTAGAAGACAGAGGACATGACCAGTAGACATTGATTAGCTTACACAGGAAGCCCACAGGGCATAGATCAGGGTGGAAAGGGGAGGAAGTAAGTGGATCTAGAGAGGCAAAGAAATTAAAAAGCACAAATTTGAAACTGAATGGTCATGGCAACAGGCATCAAAATTTGTGGACTCCAGAATTGACAAAATCTAAAGGAAACTATATTACCTTAAATAATTATATTACAGAAGAAGATTAAAAAATTAATAGCCCAATACCTAATCAAGAAGTAAATAAACAAGAACAAACCTAGGGAAATATAAAGGAAAAATTATAAAAAGCAGAAATCAGTAAAATAAACAAAATACAGAAAAGAGGATCCATAAAACCAAAAGCTGCTTCTTTGAAATCTTTACAAAATTTTAAAACTTTGAYAAATAAGATTAAGAAAAAAGAGAAAGTCATAAACTACTATGAAAAGGATATAGCAGATATAGCAGTGACTTAAAAATACTATGAACAATGTTATGCCAACTTAGTTAGAAAATAGACGTGTGGCAGTTTCCTGGGGTGGGAGTGGGGGTTACCAAAGTTGATACAACTATGGTAGACTCATGATAGTAAAATTAGACCTACCAGATTTAATGATTTCAACCTCCAAAAAATTAAGAAACAGACAATTCCTTCCAGACAAAAGAACAAATAAAGTACTTCCAGACAAAGAATAAATGGAACAAATAACTCATTCTATGAGGCTAGCATAACCTTGATAGCAAAACCAAACAACAGCAAATGAGAGCTCAGCTTCACTTAAGGTTACTAAGCAAAAATCCTAAACTAAACCAAAATTTAGAAGTCCATTTACACACAAACAAACACGTGCATGCATACATACATTCATTTAAAATTGGACTTAGTTCATGAATGCAAGCATATTTTTTTTTAGTTGTAGTTGGACACAATARCTTTTATTTATTTATTTATTTTATGTGGTGCTGAGGATAGAACCCAGGTCCTTGCACGTGCTAGGCAAGCATTCCAACATTCAGCCCCAGCCCCAGCCCACAAGCATAATTTTTTACAGGAAAAAAAGATTTTTTTCAATGTAATTTATAGTAAAACAAATTAAGAGG